GCTGCAGGGCTGTGGTGGGAGAAGCAATGGGAAAGAACATACAGCACCATCCACATGCCCAGTGTTCCACGAATGGCTGTTCTCTTAATGATAGGGAATATAGTTGTATCCAACATGACCCATGGAACTGACCGAAAATCCATTTTAAACTGGATTACACACAGAAGAAGAAGTTTGTAGTGAGCTGAAAATTCTTCTGGCTCTCTTGATGACTCAGGCCTCAGTTCTACTCCAGCCATGGTCTGGGTACTGTTTGGAGCACACAGGGGCTTCCCTTGTGGCTGCAGATGCAGTGCTGGCTCTTGTACCGGCTCTGCTGAAGGGGAAATGGAGGCCACTTTATCACTTTATCCTCTCTGATCCTGGCTGACTCAGATCTGCATCATCTGCTCCATTCTAGAGCTGGGGGAAGGATCTGCCTCATACCCAGAGGGGCAAAGGGTAGATCACTCAATAGGCAGCTTATGCGACATAGGGTGAAAGGCTGCTAGGCAGCCAGAAAAGCAGCATATATTATCTACACTATCTTGGTGAAAGATGGGCCTAAAATCATAAGGACAGGCCTCTATCATCTTCCATGTGATATTAGGCAGCTACTTAACTTCTGGAAAGTCTTGGTTTTCTCATCTGTTTTATACTGCAAGGTCATCACGAGGACTAAGATTATACCATACTATCATAACCACCACACCACCTCGGCCATCATTGTCACTGACATCATTATCATCATTGCCACAAATCACTGCTATCAATATTATCACCACCACCAGCACCATCAACACACCCATCATTGCCAGTGTCACTTCACCATCACCATCATCACCCCACCAACTTCACCGTCATCACCACTGCCACTGTCACTGTTGCCATCATGATTACCATTAACATCAGCATCATCCTTATCACATAGCCAGTGTGTAGTTGAGCCCTGATGGAGTCCAGTCCTGCCCAATACCAAGTGTGTTCATGGTTTCTTCTATCCCAACCCTACCCACATATTTCTAACCACCGTCCTATTCTGGACTTCTTGTTACTCTTAGTCTTGCCGCACGTGTCCTGAGGAAATGATTCTCAGTGTATTAACTGGACCACAGGTCACACAGTGTAACTCAGGTCTACTTACCAACTTCCTCCATGACCATAAAGACTGCAGATGGATCAACATTTCACCTCCCCAGTGTGAGATCCAAATTCTTCCTGTCTCCCCTTCTTGTCTCCAAGACTTTCCCTGACTTTCACATTCCAAGCATAAAGTCAGAGTTGAGGATGAGGGATTCTCCCAGCTCAGCCCCTCATCAGTTCTGCTCAGGCACGTTGGACCTGCTACTGCTCTTGGACCTCCCTGCCACTCCTTTCCTTCTACCCCACCTAGGGCTTCTGTTCTGAGGTCCCCACAGTCTATGGGCCCCCAGAAGTGCCTTCCCTACTTTGGCCACAGGATGGCAGCATGTTCCCACAGACCATACCAACTTCCAGTAACCCAGAGGTGGATAATTTCCCCAAGTCAAAATGTCTCTTGTTGAGAAAGTAGATTTAAGAATAAGTCATTAAAGTGCTCAGGATGGGGTTGGATTTGAGATGTTCCTGCCTCAGCCTCCAAGAGTGCTGGGATAACAGGCATGTGCCATCATGCCTTGCCTCAGCAGAATGTTTGAGAAAGGCACTCCTTCTTTCTACTCAGTTTGAGCAGTGTTCCCTCCTGCTCAATCCCCTAGTAGTCAGGACCTTTGGCCAGGACAGCTGCCCAGCCAGGCTTGAGCTTAGCTTTGGACCATGACATTCAGACAAGCCTCTTATGGGCTCTGGTGATTTTCAGATTGAGTCCAAGTTTTCTGAACAAAAGACAGTCAGTCATCTAAGTTTAGTGTCTTTAGAGAAGAGATAGCTGTCAGTTCTTGGCTGTTCTAGCAAAGCAAAGAGTAGTTGCAGAGCCCTGGGGAAAGCTTGGGCTTGCAGAATTGGAAAACTGGATTATCTGCACAAACACTGAGACATCCTGGGTGTGTCCATCTGGAAAAGCAGCATTTTTTTTCTAGTAAGTCTGCAAATACTCTATTTCAATTTTGCAAGGAAAGAAAAAGCAGTTTTTCACAAAAAGAAGAAATACAACTAGTAAAACAAACACAGGAAAATTTCCCCTCTCCCTAATTGTTAAACAAATGTAAATTAGGAAAATAATCAGATTAATAATCAGATAATTAGATTAGCTAATATATTTTTTAAAAGATAACATTTTACTAGGGATATTCATAAAGGTGTGACGGAGTATGTTCCCCAATACATTTTACACTTTCATACCTTTTTAGAAAATAATTTGGCAATGTTATTGGCAGTCATAAATATGTCTATATAGTTTCTGGAAACTTAGACTTAGGAAAATATTAGGGACTAAGAATAAACTGTATGAGCAGAGATGTAGAACACTGCAAGCACGAGTAGGAGCCATCAAGTATGGTGATGGAGGATCTAGGTAATAACTTCATAGACCCCAGTTCAAAGCAAACAATATAACATCTCCGCCCTCTCTGTTTCCTTAACTGGACGCCAGGAATGATAACAGTGCCTAGTTCATAGGGCTGGTGGGGGGATTAAATGAGATGCACCATAGCATGAGCTTGTGCCTGAGGTTAATTCTCAGTGAATGATAGTTCTTCTTTTTTACTATAATAAAATATAAGCAAATAAAATTTACTATTTAACCAATTTGAAAAGTACAACCCAGTGGCACTTAGTTCATTGAAAATGTTGTGCAGCAATCACCATATTTCCAGAACATTTTCCTCTCTCCCAAAAAAGGAGACCTCACAGCCACTGAGCAGTCACACTCTATTGAAATACTATAAAGACTGTGGAGTTAGTTAAAAAGTCCTTATGTTACAATGATGAGCAAAAACTCAAGGTTTGAAATTGTATGATATGGTCTAGGTAGTAAATGAAGCATAAAAAAGCCTGAAAAAGAATATATAAAAATAATAGCAATTGTATTTCTCAAACTTCTTTTGCATACTAAAAATAATTTGTTTATAGTTTTAAAAGTAAACCAACAAACAGTCAAATACCATCAGGAAGCTCAGATTGTTAAGTGCAGGTCTTGGGAGCATAACATCTTAGACTTTCAAGTATCAGAGAGTTCTAATACTGTTAGGACTGGCTCCTTGTGTTGTCTGGCTGTGATCTGTCGTTGCTGCTCTGTTGTTCTAGAAGTTTCCTTGAGAACAGGTTTGGATCCAGTAACTGTCTCATTACTCACAGGAACCTATGGTGCTGGTCTTCTCAAGGAGGCCCAGCTCCCTGTGATCGAGAATAAGGTGTGCAACCGCTTTGAGTACCTGAATGGCAGAGTCAAACCCACTGAGCTCTGTGCTGGGCATTTGGCTGGTGGCACGGACAGCTGCCAGGTAAGAAAGGACTAAGGAGACTCAAGTCAGCCTTGGCCTGGCCTGATGTCCCATGAACCTTTCAGTCCCAAACTGGCAAAGTGAGAAACATTTGCCAGCCCAAAGCCCCAGTCACAATGCTGCTGAGAATCCCCCTATGTCTGCCTCAAGGGTTATGCAGAGAATCTAAGATGATTTCTCAGGCTTGGGCTCCAGATGGGAAGTCAGGGAGCGGTTGTTACTGTAACTTCCACATGCCATGTGCCTTCTTGGTGGACTGAGACTAGATTGGAAGGCTTTGCAGAAGGGAAGAGGGTCGAGGGTCCAGGATAGAGACCTACTGCACCTCTTGGCAACTGTGCTCAGGCGAGCCAGACCTGAAAGAAGCCCCAAGACAGGAGGGGATAAGGACAGTATTCACAAGGGATTGTTTCCCAGGGAAAACCAGATGACGGAGTTTTTCTGAACAGACTTTGCTAAGTACTTAAACACTGCAGATACTCAAATGATAGTATTATTAATAAGTTCCTTTCTGATTTAAATGCTGAGAAAAATCTACCTAGGGATTAACAGGAGGAGGAGACCCATAATAAGGGGAGAGTAGTTTAGTCCTCTAATAAACCTTTTACTCCATTGTCTCTAGGGTGACAGTGGAGGGCCTCTGGTTTGCTTCGAGAAGGACAAGTACATTTTGCAAGGAGTCACTTCCTGGGGTCTTGGCTGTGCACGCCCCAATAAGCCTGGTGTCTACGTTCGTGTTTCAACATTTGTTAAATGGATTGAAGAAATAATGGGAACTAATTAATTGGATGTGTGACAGAATGAAATATCAGCTTACCTAGAAGCTGGAACATGGGTAAGGAATTTAGAAAGCTCAGAAATAATTTGACAGTAATCGGACTAAGACCTTGTACTTAGTTTCCATCTGCTGCCAACCCTTGGCATTTTTTATATTTTTGTGAATAAATCTTGTCCATGGGTTCTAATAATAAGGCCACATAGCTATGACATTTGTTCTAAATAAACTCTGTACTTTCTTTGATTTAATTTTTTTGGCATGGGGGGAAGGACATTTTATGTTCTTCATTCTACCAGTTTTAAGGAAAAAACTGAAGTGATTCAGCTCATTTTCACAAGGAATAGTTGCTTATAGGACTAAGAAGCCTAGAAGATCACTGAGAGGTCTTAGCAAGTCATCCAGGTATTGACTGTGTCACCTAAAGGTGGCTCGATATACATCTTTAATGGCTTTTCTTCCTGGCACTGAAATGAATGTTGTCAAAGCTGCCACACATGTGGGAGTTAGGAGAACAAGTACTATTCCTAGGAATTAAATCTTACCGATGACTCAATATTAGCCCAGTCCATGGGGCATGGAACAGAGCTGTGTGTGGTGTGAACCTGGCATTGGAAGTACTCTTAGACCAGCTCAGAGTCTGGGTGCTATTCTGGGTCACATCTGAGTACAGGAATGATACCAAGAGCTGTAGAAACAACAAACCAATGATGAAGGCGGACCACTTCACCTTCTGCCCCTAACTGGCTGCCAGGTTTGGAAAATACAGGCAGCATAGGAATGGTGTTTTATGGTGACATATGTTGAGAAGGGAGAGAAAGAATGGATTTTTTAACAATTTAAAATTTTTTATTGTTATCAAACAAAAATGTCCACTTCCAATACAACTCAAAGGTGATAGTATCAAAAAGCAACTGCCATCTCACAGTAAAGAGATGAAAAAAAAAGCAAAAACATCAGTGTCTGTGAATACAGGATGAATGCAGCATCAAATCCTCAAAAAGGTGTATTTCCTTTATTGATGAATAAAATGTTCATATGAAATTCTGATGTGCTTTAAAGATTAAGACATTTATTTTAGGCTGGGGGTGTAGCTCAGTGGTGGAGCGCCTACCTGGTATGCATGAGGCCCTGGGTTCTATCCCCAGTACTACACATACACACACAAAGTTTATTTTACAATCAGCACACACATCTTAATACTGTCACATATATATGTTCTCATAGAAGTTTTCTTTCTCAATGGCAAGGTTTTCCTTTGTTACTCATTTTGTCTATCCACATAAAGTTCTTCATTAAAAACTTCGGCATAAGATATATATTAGATTTTGAAAATATAACAGATGAAACACACAAAGCAGAACATTGTGTTTAACTTCCACATTTCAAGAGTCTTGATAACACAAAAGGCAAATTCTTATGCATATCTCTAAAGTCACTTATAAAGCTGATGCTAATTCTTTTTAAGCTTGGATATATTTGACATTTTCTTTATGTGAAAATGTAAGCTTTTTTTCCAAGGTAAGTCAAAGGGCAAAGATTGAATGAGAACCGTCCATATTTTTCACTCTTGACCACAGGTACCACTGGAACAGAACTCATAAATATAACACAAATATCCCTTTACTTTTGTTTTTGGTTTTTTTGGTACTGGGGATCAAACTCAGGTCCTTTCACTTGCAAGACAGGCACTGGAACCACTGAACTAAATCCCCGGCCCTATCCCTTTGCTTTTAAAATCCTAAGACCCAGGAAATCATAATCTGTGGGTTTTCTTCTCTAAAGAATGAAATTTCTGGTTATATAGGTGTTCACTAAAGGAAACTAAAAATATTGCAAATAATCTTAGGACTCAAACCTGATTTTAAAATAATAGAGCCAAATCCTCAAATTATACACCAGAACTGTGCTTATTTATGGAATGAGGTCTAACCTGTGCCTGAAACTCCAGATGCTGCAGAGAAGGTGGGTGGGAGGGACACATGGCTTGTCCAGACTGCAAAGGCCTGGAACCTGGGGAGCAGAGAAAGCAAAGGCTCAGTTTGGTGTGGCTCGGGAAAACCATCATCCTTCATGGACTCTTCCTGACACTTATCGGTGCTGTGTGCTTTAATCAGATGCGATGAATGCATCTCCATACACCTTTCCTGGATCCTTGGTTATACAGCCTGCATTTCTGATAAGGATCAGGTGGGGCTTCTCTTGTCCCTCTGTGACTGAATGAGTCAGAGACTGCTGATCCCAACACTAGAAAAAAGCAAATAGGATGGGTCGTGCATTGAGTAGGCTCTTTGCTCACCCAGTCACGTATCGTATGCTCCCAGAAACTTCAATTGCATGATAAATCTGAACTCATCCAATATTGTATAAAAATACTCTGGATAGTCTGCAGGTCTTTATATGGCATCAAAGACACTTGAATCGGCGCTACATAATGAAGCTGAAGTGCACAGGTACATCTCTGGAGGCTCAGTTTCTCCAGGAGGGTCGACTCCAATAGCTCCTTCCTCTGGAGTTGCAGGGGTCTCACAGGTGAGAGCTGGATACCTGGGTTTTCTTTTTCCTGCTATTGGATGTGAATTTACAAAACAAAGGAGAAGATATAGTCCTTGTGAGCAACTATGCAACCAGTTAGAAGAAAGTCTTGTCCTTACTCAGTAGCATGGTTGGTTTTGATCAAATACACTCATGCATAACATCACATTAGCATCCCAACTCAAAGGCAGCCAAAATAATTACCTCTGTGGCTCATTTAGATCTGTTTAGGGGTTAATTAGCATTATAGCTTGCAAATTTCTAATGCATTTCTACTAAACAACAGGTGGCTTAGAAATGAGCTGCTGATGTGAACAAAAGACAGTAGAAATGATAGAATAATTCCCTGCAGTTTTAAAAGGGAACACATCAACAGGTTTTGGCAATTTGAGGCTAAGCAGTTTTGTTCTAGAGTAAATAGCCATGGGTCATATTTAATGAGCTTAGTTTGTAGAGCTGTAAATCATACTCTCAGATTATTTTTCAAAAGCAGGGAGTAGTTATGATTAATTTACTCTGCTTTTTATTATGAAAATTACAAACAAAAACATTAAAAGAATCTGTGTAACTTAAATTTTTTTGGTATAATTCTTCATGATTATACATCAGTTGGAAATTAATTCTTCCTGTACAATATTCAGGATCCCCCTTGAAAAATATCTGTATCTCTCCCTGTTGTCTAATCTAACTAATGTGACTGAATTTGTGGCAGAGTCCTGATCCAAATACCTTCTTCCTTCCTTTTTTTCCTGATGAATTAGAAAACCTGAGGGTTTGGGGATGAGGAACAAGGGCATCACAGGAGGAATGCAGGGCCCCTGGCTAGAGGAGAGTGCATTCACTCGTGTGGCTGCAAATGTGACTTGGTCACAAGAAGGCTTCTGTCCTGCTGAGTGCTGGAAGTCTGGTAGTCCCAGGGAGGCTCTGCCTCCAAAAACCAGCGCTGAGTTCCTCCTTTCTTTTGACCCATAAATCTGCCGAAGTGAAGCAAGCATAAACCCATGAGAAATCCCTCTCATACTACGAACCTCTTATTTTAAGACAACTCTGTTTCCTTCCTCACCATTCCCTCCTGCTTCATGAACCTTCTTGAACAGTCTCATTTCTCCTGATCTTTGAGTATGGCTACAACTGGGGTGACAGGACTGGGCACCATCCTGACCCCCCTCTAAGTCATTGTTAGTGATGACCGTTTAGCCCAGTGTGTCCCCTTTCTGGATGGAGCAAGACCCTACCATGGCAGAAGGCTTCGAAGGATGTTACACAGTTTTAATAAATATAATTCACTTCTTTGATTCATTTAACTTCATTTTACAAGATAGTGGTGTCATAAAGAGAAACTGCACCCCATCCCAAACTTCACATTGCACTGTTCTAAGGTGAAACAAGTGGGCTCTGGGTGGGGAATAAGCCACTGTTAATCCCTTTCCTCCCAAACAGGCACAAGAATCTACTGGGGTTCCTTGGTGAGGGAAATGGCCCCTGTCCTCTGATTGGCCCATCCCACCAGTAGGAATACAGCTGGTGATTTCATTTTGAGACCTTTCTTATGGAAGTTCTGGGAGGTGATTAATCAATCTTATTTTTCAAAATAGCTTCAGAAAACAGAACAATAAGATAATTGTATAAGTTAGCTATACTCTGCAAAGTTTTAAAGTTCTGGTAAAACACTCAGGAGACCTTTGGCAACGGTTCCCTGCCTCTGGAGAGGGCGATGTCCCTGAGTAATGGAAGAACAGAAGAAGAGATTTTTCCAGTCCTGCCAGAGGGGTGCTCACTATGTAAAATAAATTCACAGATAGGCTGCAGCATAAAATAAAACTATGGGGCCAGGGATTTACCTCAGTGGTTCCGCTGCCTGCCTCGCAAATGCAAGGTCCTGAGTTTGTTTGATGCCCGGGATCAAAAAGAAACTATACACAGCAATGGAGTCATACTTGTACTCGGCAGTATCACCCCCAGTCCTAGCTTTTAAAAGTTGAGAAACCATTCTGAATTCCTGCTTACAAAAAAGGGAATGTAAAAATTCCTATTTTATAGGATTGCTTTGATTATTCAATGAAATAACATATGTAAAACCATTAATAACTTAAGTGCTTTGAAAATGTCAGCTTCAAAACAAACAAACAAAAACAAAAAAACAAAAAACAAAACAAAAAAATGTCAGCTTTTACCCTCTTCCCAATCTACAGGTGAAGAAAAAACTACCTCGTAGTTACTAAAATGTATTTTTATGAATATTTTTGATACATTTTTATAAATTTAGAGGTCCACATTCTCATATCATTATTAAGGAAGATTAAGTTTTATTTAAAAATTAGTTGGCAAATTATTTTTAAAATTACACAAGAAATACCACATCATGTGATCTAATTGAAGAATCATCAAACACTACAGAAATCTGTCTACATAAAAAAGATGGCCCTCCCTTCCACATCCCTTTCTAACACATTTCTAGCCCCAGAGGGTATACATTATTGTTTTACATTTTAACCATTCATTTCTGCAGTCATGTTTTCTTTCTATTATTACAAATTTCAAACATAAAATGAGAATTTGTACAATGTGAATTTTTATCGATATAACTTTTTATATGTTGGTATCTTTTCCAATATATTCACTGAACACTACAGTGATACCCTGGTTGTCAAACTCAATTCCTCCCAAATTTGTGTTTGAACATCAAAAAGTTTAAGAACTCAACATATTTTTCCCATAAGAAATAATAGAAAACCAAATAATTGGTTCTGAGGCCCAAAAGTTTCCAGTACTTTAACAAATTTTGCAATGGTTCTCAGTTTTCCTCTTAGCTTTACTGCTGGTATCACTTTCTTTGGAGCTATAGTTACAATATTTTATGCAAATAAAGTGCTAAGAAAAGCACAGTGACAAATGTCTTAACGCACTAACACAAGCACTGGATGCTGTCTGGGCAAGAGTGGCTTTTAGACTGAAGCATCACCTCTTTGTGTCTACGGCTAGAGGCGATGTGTGATTCACTCTCAGCACAGACAGATTTTGTTCAAGTTGGAGTTTTTGTTTGACTATTGTGCAAAGCTGTGAACACAGCAGATTTTTTTCAAACTTTGCTATTTGAGCAGTGGAAAGTTTGAGCCTGTAGCTGTTTGACAACCAAGGCATCCCTGTATTTAGATCCTCCCCTCCAAAGTCAATCTCTCTCTCTTCCATCTCTATCTATCTATCTATCTATCTATCTATCTTCTGTCATCTATCATTTACCTATCAGTCTGCCCATCTTCACTTAGCAATGATACATTATGCATCATCTATCTTTCTGTCACCTGCTATCTTCTCATACAGCTACACACTGGTTTATTTTGTAATAAATATAATAGCACATTTTTCTTGTTTCATTTTGTAGTCAATCTCAAGAAGCTTCCCATGCATTCCATGTAGATAGCCTTCACTTCTTTTCATCTTTGTGTAGTAACCCACATTAAAATTATCATCTTTCCTTCAGTTCCCTATTAATGCACATTTAAGTTGCCTCACTCTGCGACATATCAGTCCCTTTCTTTAAATCACTTCTGATTTTAACATCTTACTTGGAAATGCTTCCCAACTACATTTTAAAAACAGTTCATATTCTTTTATATCATGGGGTTTTTTAATTTTTCCATCTTTTTGCTTATTATGTGAAAGGGAGATTTAATGTTATCATTTCCTATGGAAATTCAATTTTCTCAACAGCATCTTTCCCTTGAGGGTTTAAAATGCTGCTTTGATTTGGAATATGTTGAGTTTTGTACAATACCTGCCAAGTTTTTCGACATCATCCACTGTCTCTGGCAAGGCAATACCCTTGGTTTCAGGCAAAAGCATCACAAGGCCACCACAAACCGATGCCAAGATACCTGCAAAGGGGAAAGGCATTACTATTGCAGAAGCACAGGCTGGCTGTCCCGGCTCCCGGCTCCCGGCTCACTCTGGAGGCTGCCAGGCTCATTGACCTTAAGTTACCCTTTCAACCACAGCACTCCTCTGCTTACCCTACTCAGCTCTTCTAGGATCTCAAATGTTCCCCACCTTCCTCAAATCCTGTACCACACCATGGGCCCTGGACCCTTGGCATACATCTGTTCGTTCACACCTTTAACAATTACAGTCCTGTGTCACTTAATGACAGGAAGATGTTCTGAGAAATGAATCTTTAGGTGATTTCTTTGTTGTGTGACCATCTTACACTACTGTATACTTATGCAAATTAAAACAGCTATGACACCACTAGGCAATAGTCTTATGGGATCACCACAAGATGATATTGTGGGTCACTGAAAATATCCTTACGTGGTGCATGACTGTGTTTATTGAGTATCAACCAAGCTAAGCACTCACCTTCTGCTTCAGAAGGAAAGCAGAACCAGAGAAGATCCCCTCCTCTTCCCTTTCCTGACACTAAAACTTAATTGCATCCTCTCCTTCCCATGAGGCCTCACTTAGTCCTCTCTTTTTGGGTCTTCATTATATTGATTAATCTACTCTCTAGCATCTTCAATCTAGCAGTAGGAGCATTCCAACACACTGAAACTGTCATCTCCAACAAACTGTCTGTTAGCCTCACCCTCCACTTACCATCCTCCCTTTTCTGTTCTTTGGAGTCCAAACACTGTAATTGCCTATTTTCTCACACCTATCTTAGCAGTGTGCTGGCAAATGTCTAATCGCCAGCTCTGTACAATAAAGCCCTGACTTACAGCTTTGCCTGTTTCCATGGTATAAATGCTCCGGCATGGGCACTTCAACCTACTGGCACGACCTCCGGGAACACGGTCCCAGGGAAGAGACAGACAGTAGTGCTCCATCCTACTGTGTTCCCACCAGAAAGATACAGTAGAATAAATAATCTGAAGATCATCCATAATAGTAAAAATGTGGGATTAGGAACTGGTGAATGTTGAATATTTATGATCTCTGCTTTTAATGTATTTTATACACTCTAATTTTTAATTATGGTTGTATTTAATGACTGACTGACTCTCAAAATTCTAAAAAATGTCACAGTCAGTGCTGGTGAGCTGATAGGAGCCAGTCCTAGCATGTCACTCTATGTCATACATCCAGCCCCACTGCACACTGCTCCTGCCCTGCATCCTCCCTGGTCCTCCTCCAGCCAGGTCACCAACTGCCTTTGCTCAGATCCAATGGCACTGCTACTGGGCTTTGTTGGCCAGTGTAGAGTTATACCTACCTCCCCTCGACTTCCTGCCGTGCCCTGCCCTGCCCTCGTGGTTTCCCTGCTCTCCTCTCACTTTCTCATCTCCCATGTCCTACATTCTGGCCACTGCCCCAGTTTCACCAGTGATCCATATTCAAATGTTTCTGAATCCCCATCTGTAGGCCAATTTCTCTCCTGGGCTCAGTGACATCCAAACTCCCAGATTCTCAATAGTTTGACTTGGAATCTTACAGCTACCTCACTTGCATCCCCCCTCAGCCTGCTACAGCCTTCTACTAGTGCTTGTCTTTCATCTGTAGGTTCCTGGGCCGCCCATCTCATGACTCCTTGGCTGCTGGTCCTGTCAACTATCCCACCTGCCAATCTAATTCCTAAGATGCTTCCTCTCCATTCTGCTCCCATTGCCTCCTTAGATCAAGCCACTATGATCCCTTACTCAATTATAACATTCTTTTAATCACCTCACAGCTAGCTCAGTCCCCCTGTAATTCAACTGCCTATCTGCCATCAGCATCCTAGTTCTTTTTTGTTGTTGTTAGCTGAAGTCTTTTATTAACTCATGTATAATTACTTGTCTTCTGGTTTGTTGAAGCAGTAAGTCAGACAACACTTGCCACAATAATGTCTGTCAAAGTGGCTTGCCATAAAAACTCCAGCAACACATTCATCTGAAGGGCACTCCCGATGAAAACAACAAATTTTTCCATTTTCATCCACCTTATAGTATTTCAGGACAGCCAACTTAACCTTCTTTCTCTTCTGCTTATTCTTCTTGGGGGTGGTGTAAGACTTCTTCTTCCTTTTCTTAGCGCCAGCACGGAGTCTCAATGCAAGATGAAGGATGGACTCCTTTTGAATGTTGTAATCCGACAAAGTACGTCCATGTTCCAGTTGCTTACCAGCAAAGATCAGCCCTTGCTGATCAGGAGGAATTCCTTCCTTATCCTGGATCTTGGCTTTTACATTTTCTATAGTGTCTGAGGGTTCAGCCTCAAGTGTGATGGTCTTCCCTGTAAGGGTTTTTACGAAAATCTGCATCTTGGCAATGGTTCCACCACAGATGGCGGATCCGAAAGGAAGAACATCCTATTTCTAAGATACAAATCTAGCTGTGTTGAACCCAGCGGTCTTGGGCTCTTCAGTGGCTTCCCCTGTCATCAGATAAAGAGCAAAGTTTCTGCACACCTGAGAAGACCCTCGGTGATCTGTGCCTTCCTTCCCTGGCGATAATTCCCATCAGGCCCCACTTCACACACTGGACTCTGACCTTTGCTCTAGGGCTTCATACTGCTGCGAGCACAGCTCAAACCTCCCACGTGGGGAGTTTTTTCTCACTTCAGAGCACACCCTAGACCTGGCTTCTTCCTTCCCTCCCAGTACTCTCCCCTTGACATCCCCAAGACATAATGTTCAGGATTTTTCACACTCTATTGTCCTTGAGTTTTCAGGAATTTGGTCCCCTCCCCACAAGCTCCAGGAGGGCAGGGCCTGCCCCAGCCCTGGCCAGCTTGGGTGGTACTCCCCATAGACTCACTGCAGTCTCATAGGACTAACCCAATACTTTGCCTTGACTGCCCTGTTCTGGTTGGACAATGGTGCCTTTGTGCTTTTCATGCTGGCTGCAGAATTAACACTGAGTTTTATTATCAACCATTAAATGATTTGAAATGATCTTGTACTAAGATTGGTGGTGTTAGATGGTTAGAAGCTGATTGTCTGTTCCTAGCACTGTCGAAGGAGTTTTGCGTGAACCGGAATGTATGGCCTCCTGGACTCAATATTGTCATCAAATTTCACCTGTTGAGCAAGAAATGGAAACATTGTGTATGGAAACATTGTGTATGGAAAGTAAGGAAGTGGGTTGGAGGAAAGGCAGGGCAAGAGAAGGACCAACTCTTGTCCTTTACTTCTGAGAAGGACAGGGTGTATATACCCTAGGGGACAGCGTGGAAGTGCCTTTTGGTGCCTCCTGAGGCCAGGATTCTGTCAATGCATGAGCTCTATGGAGACTGGAGGTGAGAAGGAAGATGTGAATTTAAGGAATGTGGAAGAGGTTATAGGATATGTGGATATGTGGAAGGGTTTTTGTGTTCTCTGTTCTTTCAACATAACATATTTGGCATCAAACCAAGTTAAGATCTAGTATTAGTAAATATTGAACATTTAAAAACACAGTTAGTCTTTATGTTGAATTTGAAACATACTGAAGGTCTAATTTAGCCCTCTGGAAATTATATTCTGTCCCCCAATACTATAAAAGGGTTTTGTGGTACTTGGTTTTAACTCAGAACTTAAACAAAGAAGGCTAACTCAAACAGTTATCATCACCTTTTAATATAAAGTAAATTAAAACCATTCAGAATTTCAAATTTTGTTGTGAATAGATTGGCTCCTTAAAACTTAGAAAGTTGTTACAAAAAGAAGAAATGGATATCATTAATATCAAATCTAGGGCCGGGGATTTAGCTCAGTGGTTTCACCACCTGCTGCTCAAGCACAAGGACCGGAGATCGATCCCTGGTACCAAAAACAAAACAAAGCAAAACAACAACAAAAAATATCAAATCTAGTAATCATATAGGTTGTACTAATGCAAAGACTATAGAAGAAAAGCACTGGAGAATAACATATAAAATGAGTTCTTACCGAAGATGATCAGAGGTAGTTCTAGCCATATGGCTGCTAGTCGAAAGAGTAGAAACGGGGCTATAATTCCCCCAAAGTCACACACACCTGAGCAGAGTGAAACACCAAAGTTTCTGCAGAATGAAAAATAGCTTTAAGAAAAATGACTTAGATATTCAGGATAATTAAAATATTCAGATATTAAATAATAGAAATTGTGACAGTATTTTCCATTTCCTCTTGTACTCTAAGCAAATTATTTCCATTTGATACTATTTCACAATGAGGATAGTTAAGAAAGCCTCCAGTGTTGCTAGTAAAACATTCATCCATCAACATTTACTATTCTGCTCTACAACACTCACGTGCTACCTCAGTGCCCTGAAAAGTGTACCCAGAAGAATATTTCTACAGCTATGAAACCCAAATTGTGCTATTTTGTGCACAGTTTCACATTATCCTTCAATAATGAGTTGCTCACAAATGTTACGCTCTCAATGTGGTTAAAAGAGAAGCCAGAGCCTTGAAATACGACAGTGGTGATGAATACAAATTTAATTTGCAATCTGAGCAAGTGCACTAAGAGGTTTCCTAATTCCAAGTTTAGTACTTTTCCCCAAGATCACAGCTATATATAAAAATACTGACATGGGAAAGTATTGTAATACTTGTACCTTATTACAAAATGCAGCAGGTAGCAATGCAGAACACAGCTGTAACTCAAAGACTATCTTTTTTACTGGCTAAACTCAGCCCAAGCTAATATATTACATATTAGGAAAGCTAAGGAAGCATTTGGCTGCAGAGAGCTTAGGAGAAACTATGACATGTATATTGGAATTACCGTAATGTTGTTGGGTACAATTCTGAGTTTACCAAATAAACAATTTCAAAGGCCATGGTTATCCCTAGTCTTCCCAGGGTAGCAACTGCTGTTCTTAACCATGGTATTCCTGTGAACACAGAACATTTGGAAGAGAAGTTAGGTCTGATTTATGAAACAACGAAAGGCACTGTCTTAGTGCCCCCTAGCCCTTAGTCTTTGCTAATTTAAAATCCAAATGATAGATCCTTGTAATGCAGTAAACAATATTCAATAACAACTAGAATGATCATTAAGATTTTAGTGTTCTAGAGATGCCTTTCTGAGCCAGGTTAGATTATAGAAATACAACTCAAGAACCATTTGATAAATGAGTGCCCAATCAACACTGAGCCAATGATGCAGGCAGTGCCTTCCTGGAGAGGCCAAGTCTGCTTGTCTTTTGTCTGGAAGACAGTCTCCACTGTGCCCTTGAAGACCTCACCACAACTAGGCACCCACCTGTCCTCTGTAGAGACTAGGAAAGCTCTTTTCATGAGATGAGCTTGGTACTAGAGAGGAGTAAAGCTTGGAGGGCTCAGATCTTTGGGAGAGGGCAACTAACCCAAGTGTTACCCTAGATATGTGCCTGTGCCATTGATTGTCTTTCAAATTCCCAGAAAAATGATGAGAAATGGAAAAAATGGAAATAAAGTCTCTGTAAATAGGGAAGGGTGGAGGGGGTGAAGGGAGGGCAAGGAATGGGGAAAAAATAAGAACCAAGATGCATCATGTAAAGGTACAAGGTCCCAATGAGAAATGTAAATGTGTTGTATACATAAAATGTACCAATAAAAGAATTTAAGAAAAAAAAAAGAAAACCCCCCCAAAAAACCAAATTCCCAACCATGTACCACCCACCAAGAAATGGCCCAGAAGGAGTCAGGTTCCTACATAGTAATTGGTTCATCCACTTAAAAATGAATGTTTTAAGGCTGCTCTCATTGTATGAAGAAATTCTCTTTTCCTCCAGAGTAACTAAGGCAAATATCAAGCATTCTCTATTAAACACTTCCTTCTTTGTGTTTTAAAGGCAGAAGGAAGTTACCATTTAAATTCTTAAAAATGTCCTCTCTCTCTCTTTCTCCATTTCTTTTTATTCTGCAGCATTAGGAATTGAATCCAAGGGCTTCACAATGAGCTACATCTCCAGACCTTTTTCATTTTTAATTTTGAGACAGGGTCTCACTAAATCACTAAGTTGCCCAGGCTAGGCTTGAACTTGAAATCCTCCTGCCTCAGCCTCCCAGAGTGCTAGGATAAGTCATTTTCCTAAGTGATGGAACAAAACAGCAGACACCCACAACTAAAGGAGGAGAGGTTTATTTTGGATCACATTTTAGAAGTTTCGGTCTATGTTTGGCTGACTCAAAAATATAAACTACATGGTAGAAGGGCCTGGGCAGAGGAAAGCTGCTGACTGCATGGTGGCCAGGAAGCAGAGAGAGAAGGGAGGAGATGGGAAGGAGAAATACCCTTGCAGGTCACTCACCCAGCGACCTATCACCTTTCAAAAGCCCTATCCCTGAGTGCATGAGAATTTTGCGGGTCATTCTTATTCTAAACCTTAACACCTGTCTTTTAAGTTTTGTAAGAGCTGTGTGAATTTTGTCAGCTTTTCCTAAAAGACTTGGTATGAGGACATGAGATTGCATAGACAAGACTATCTTTTCTCCAAAGCAAAGCTAGGGATATCCTATGTCTTTGAAGGTAGGACTGTTACCTTTCACACTCATGGATTCTCAGCACCATCCTCTTGTCTTCCAGGAGAATATTACACCTTGCTGAATATACAATTTTTTTAGTAGAAAAGAATCAAGCTCAGTAAAGTTATGTGTTTCTCTAGAGAATATTCAACAAATCAAAAAAAGCACTAAAAACTCTGTAATATAATTGCTTGGAAGGCAATAAAACAAATGATGGTTTAAGGATTCCAACCACTGCTGGGAAGCCCCAGTTTACTGCAGTTTAGTTGCACAGTGGCTGAAGACATCCTGGTGTACTTGATGTCTTCCAAGATGGGAACACCTGTAGCTGTCACATGAATAGTCACATCAGGGAGTAAGGATATCCAAGTTGTATCAATGCACTGGGCCACCATCAGTTGTAAACATGTGTTTTATTTAGGTTCTGCTGTTTCATGGAGGCCAAAGAGGGAACTAGGAAATGCATTCCAGCCCCATCTTCAATGAGCAGGTGCTGCTGGGAATTGAAAGTGGAAGCCGTGGCCTAGATTCCCTGGGTAAAGCTGGAAGGGACAATCTCTCAACGCACTTGGGCTTCAAGAAAGAAGGTCACCTGCTACTGGGGAAATGCCTTTCTTATCCAGGCTAGGTATTTCAGCAGAAGTTTCTTTTCACTAAATCAAGATTTAGCCCCACTGACAAGTTCATTATTAATTAAGGTTTACAACTAAGGTCAGGACTGTTGGATGGAAAGAGCCAAACCAAAACCAAGAAAACAATTAACACATACACACACACACACACACACACACACACACACACAAAAATGATCCCTAAAGCTGAAGTCATCTTCCAGAGTTACATGAAAACACAGGGAAACAATGTCCCTCTGTGAATGGGGACTTGATCAAACTACTACAGATTATTAAGAGTAATAGCCCGTTTCTTGAAGAAAAGATACAGAATTTAAAATACAGTTTTGAGTCTCTTCTGAATATACAATCTACTTCAAGTTCTTAAATAAAATTTAGTGAACAATACTAATGGGATATGCAAATTAGGATATATAAACCTTACTTAAAGAAAAATAAAATTAACAGGAAATATTTTCATTTCAAAAAGAATATTTATCCAAACTGCTAGGTTTGTGGCCACCCTAAATAAACTCAAATTAAAGATAGAAGACCACTATCGATAAAGCTCTCTATTTTCCAGACTTTAATTAGGGTTCAGAAATTTGGGCCCCAAATAGTGAGTCTCATTTGAGGATACAGCCAGAAAGACTGCCTTTTTTTCAGAATTTTATTCCCAGTCCATGAAAAGTTGGGTTCAGTGGAGGGAGAGCTGGTTGAAAGGTTTTCTGTTAAGATAATTTCAGGACAGACTTCTCCAAAAGACTCCTCAGCATTCACAGCAGGGGCCATGGGCCTGCTGATGACATCAAGCAAGGGTGAGTGGGGGAAACCCTCTTAATGTTCATTCAACAGTTCCGGAGTCAAGTCCAAGTGTGCCATTCAGTTGGAAGCAAGGGAAAAGCCTCTTTTTCTAATTGGAACTCACTTTAGGGATTACAAACTTATTCACGCCAATCATTCATGACCAACATGGGAGGACCAACATAAAAGCAGTTCAGTCTGCAGAGCATACACATAAAATGTGTCCCAAACAGGTGCAATTAATTTTTACTCTTGCTGAAAACGATTCTAAAGCATCAGTTGTGAACTTATAGCTATAGAACTGATTGGACCAAGCAGAAAAGTTTATTATTTGTCTTATATTTTCCAATGTGTGAGTGTTCTCTACAAAATAACCTTGATTCTCACTCCATCCAGTTACTCTGACCTTGGTTTGGACATACAGTCTTGAATGCTTGCTTTTTTTGGCATCATACTGAAAATCATAGAGGGAAATCATCCCAGACAGTCTAAGACTAAGAAAAAATCTGGGGTAAAGTGTTTCATCATGAAATGATAGGCCACACATATCACTTATCTTTCTCCCCATGTTTCTAATTTCATATGCAGTGAATACTTCACTCTTGTTCTGGATGTGATGAGACTAGAAGACCTAGTCTGAGGCAACTGCTTTTTAAAGTTAACTCCAAAACCAAAATAAAATAGAAAGAGCAGTGAGCTCTCCAACGTGCTCGATTCACTTCTACTTTAATTGTGTACTTCCAAGGGCAGAAATTATGTCTGTCTTGTTCACTTCTCTTTTTTTTTTTTGGTACTGGGGGGATCAAACTTGGGTCCTTGTGCTTGCGAGGCAGGCGACAGAACCACTGAGCTAAATCTCTGGCTTGTTCATTTCTCTTTCTCCCTCCTAGGTGAGTGGCTGACAATAAATACTATACTAAATAAACACACGTTGATGGCTATTATACAGCTTACCTAACTCTGAGAATGAGTTAACTCAAAGTAGTGGGATGAATAGCACCCCTTCCATCATGTCTACCGAGAACTTCAGAATGTAATCATCTTTGGAAACAGGGTCTTCACAGATATATTAGTTAGGATGGCACAGAGAGAAGAGTGTCATGAGAAGATAGAGGCAGAATTGCAGAGATGCCAAGAAATGGCAAGGGTTGCTAGCAACCACCAGGAGCCAGGAGAGAAGCATGGACCATCTCCTCCCCAGTGTCTTGGGGAACCCCGCCCCCCTACCATCTGCAACACTTTGAGTTTAGACTTCTAGCCTCCGGAAGTGTGACAGAATAAATTTCTGTTGTTTCAAGTCATCCAGTTTGTGCTGGTTTATTATAGCAGCCCTAGGAACCTGATACATTCAAGGAAAATAAGATAAAGTTAGGTTTCTGTTTATCATCAATTATCTCAATATGACAAAACTTGTACCTCTTTTTCTGTTCTGAAGATTAACATTTCTGTAGTTTTATACTCATGGTCTACCTGATATCTTGGGATTTCATAAATCTGCATCTAATTAATGAAGTCTTTTCTAAATAAATGCTTGACAGTCCTGACTTCCTCAGTATTACCAGTGTCTTTCTTGATGTTCAAAAAGAACCCCTTATGCAGAAATAAATGACCAATAGAGAATGTAGCTCTTTGCATAATCCTTGATCCACACCCCTCAACCTGCTCTAACTTACAATCCTTCTGTGTTCTATGGCAGAGATCATCCAGCTGAGTTAACCATGGATCTGGAGGCACCTGCAGCCCCTGGTTTCCTCCTCATCTCAAACCCTATGCTCTAGCAACCAAGCTCTGAAAACATGACCATCACATTACTGAAAGGAACTCACCCTTTCCCACCATGGCCTGATTGCCCAGACTTATTTCCAGCTTTCAACATCTTGTCCTCCTTATTGTCATCATCCAAGCTGTGTCAGTTACGACAAGCTCACTCCTCCTCCTGGGGCTCCAGGGCAATGCCACACCCCTGGATGGCCAGGAGGAGCAGTCGTATTGGTGACTGACCGTCTTCAGGCCTCTTTGCCTGGATTCCAGTCATAACAAAAAAGTTCTTTGTTCCTGAACTCACAAAGGTTTTCATATTTCTGGGATCTGTTCTCTACTTTGGAAAAATTGTTCCTCTCCTACCTTCTATCTGATACATGCATTCTCAACACATGCCTCTTTCACACTTCTGGGAAGCTTTTCTGAGCTCCCAAGCATTAATCACTTCTCCCACCTATTTTCTCCTTTCTCTCTCTCTTTTTTTTTTTTGGTGGTGCTGGGGCAGAGCCTCATGCCTGCTAGGAAAGTGTTCTACCTCAGAGCTACTTGCCCCAGACTGCCTGCCTGCCCTCCTTTCTTTCTTTCTCCTCCCTCCCTTCCTTGTTTCTTTCTTCTTTTTCTGTCTCTAAATCTTATAAATAATTCTATGAATTCATTTATCACAATTAATTGTGACAGTATTAAATGTCTGTATCCCTTAATGGTCATGACTCTTTGAAGCTAAGAACTTCATCCTTTTTTGTTCCTAACCTTAGTGTTTAGCATGGTGCCAGTGATACGACAGATACTCAGGAGATGTGTTAGACAGTGTCAGCCATATCACAATTGGAAATCAGGAAAAGATGATCAAAAGTAAATCACATTGATGTGAGCTAGATTTTGCAAAATATCTATTTCATTGATAAATAAACATAAAATTAAGAAAATAGAAAAATTTATAAAACAGTATCTTATATCCTCATAGTCTTTACACTGATTAAGTAGAAAATTGAGTGACATTGCTGAAGCTTACCTGGTACCAAGGGTAAAATGTGATGGCACAGTTTCTAAAACAAAAAAGTTACTCCTCAGGCATGATTATTTTGATAAGCGTTTTCAAGTTTTTCAGCAGCTGCCAAACCAGTATGAAGGAAAATTACCTTCTGGTAAGAATGCGGTGACAAGACATGCTACCCCTGCCACAATGTTGCTTGCTGCAAAGGGGAGGCGTCGTCCAACCCGCTCAATGGTCAGTAAGATCAATAGAGCTGCTGGTAGCTCTACTACTCCGGAGATGAAAAAGTCTACGTAGAGGTTGCCTCCTGTGATTCCCAGGCGCATGACAAGTCCCTGGTACACCACTGCACTTGTGAACCTGCAGCAACATTGGCAGACACCAGAGAACAAATAAAAAGGTAACTTCACCTGATTGGAAGGAAGGGGTGGACTGTACAAGCTTTTAAATCCATCACAAGGCAAACTTACCAAGCAAACATAAGTATAAGTGTGCATTTCCTCATTTGGGGAGTTCTCACCAGATCTAAAATGGATGGATTACTAACTTCCTCATCTGTAACAGTGATCTACATAAGAAAAGCAGATTTCAGTAGCAATATATAGCAAGAAACATCTGCAGAGTATAAATTTGTTATGAACTAGATTCAAAGCTATAGGATAAAAGGATCTTACTTAACTGACTGGGGCTTTTTCTAACTGTATCTGAAAACTTGAGAATTAAGCCAGGCATGGTGGCACATGCCTATAAATCCCAGCACTCAGGATTCTGAGGCAGGAAGATCACTGCGAGTTCGAGGCCAGCCTGGGCTACACAGTGGGTTCAGGGCCAGCCTGAACTACAAAGGGAGACCCTGCCTCAAAAAACCAAACCAAAACAAAACTTGAGAATGAGAGAGCTTGTCTTGTGACATTTTGAATAGGTCAAATTCACAAAGATGAGGTTACTTAATTGAGAGAGAATCTGCTCCTGAGATAAGTGCAGTACTTATGATAAACTTCTCTGCATGAACAAGGAAGAAGGTATCTTCTAAAGAAAAACATGCAGATTTATTAAATTGGAGGGGAAAGGGAGAATGAAAGTAAAAAAGTAAGATCCAATCAAGTTCTTCTTTATACATTAAATAATAATTAAATTTAAATAAAATTAAATAATAAGTGTAAAAGCAAGAACCAAAGATATTATTTTGCTTTTATCTATTTATTGAAATCCAGCATCTTTTTGATCCAGGAAAATTCAGCTCATTTCTATTTGGCCATCTCCATCTACAAACTTGGTATTTTCTTCAATTCAATTCAATAAATGTTGTTGTCTTCCCACTGTATACAGGGCACTACAAAGGAGACAAAGCAGGAGAGCAAACCTCCACGCTCAGATGTTGCTTCTAGTCCAGGCTGCCAAAGGCCTCACAATGCAGTTCCTTGAAGTGACCACTGTTCTACAATTTCACATACTTGCACAATCTGTACCTCTGCTGGGAGAGCCTTTAGCCTCCTCACTTCCTCTGAGTTCTAGCCTCTATTGGAAGTGGGCCTTCACTCCCCAGACCTCTATCATGGCTCCTATACAAATGCTTTCTCTGATTTATCTATTGCTATTTTTCTCTCCAGAACTGTGGAGCTCTTAAGAGCCAAAGACTGTATTGCAGCATCAAGCAAAATGCCTACTGTTCAACAATGTTTGCTTAACAATGGAATGTCAAAACAAGAAGCCATATGCCCTGGCCATATCTATTCCTTTACTGTTTTCCTTGTTTTTTGTCCTTCTATTAACCTGGAACTCTACTACAGAAGACAGAACCTCTTCTATTTACTCAACTCCAGATCTGGTTCAGAAGGAGTGGAAATCTAGGCATGTTTTCCCCAAGCCTTTGAAACAGGGTTATCTCTACCAGCAGTCACGGAATTTGATTTAGAGTAAATCCACACTGACAGTATCTTGTCAATCACTTATCCTGAACATTAAATTCAGTGGATCAACCAAAGCTTGATATCTCATGACCACATTTGCTCTAGGGAAAATCACACACATAGAAGACTGCAAAATGAATGTCTTCTCCCCCTTTAAGTCTTTCTAACAGTATACTTCTACAGCAAGTCATATGCTCCTTTCTTCCCATCAAGTTTTAAAATGTCTAAATTGAGGTCTGTCCTACAAATGACAGATCAAACAACAAATGACAACAAGTTTTTTTCACTTACTAGTATATAGAATGCTTATGTGTCTTAAAATCAACAAAACAATAGTAGTTTCCATGATGATACTCATGGAAGGTTGCTAATATACTTCACTGGCCTGTTCTTGCTTTCTCTCTTTTGATAACAGAATCTATAGAATTTTAGTCTATACATGGTACATGGCTTGTCCATTTTCTATCTTCTTCTTCCCATGGAATGGCAGAAGATGATGGTAAGCTTCAACCACATAACCTACCACAGGTGAAGATGAAGAAATGGGATAAATGGACCCCTGGAGCTGGAGGATCTCAGGAGAAGGGTTTCCTTGCCAGAGCTGGGCTATTCACTTCTAGGAAGAGGAAAAAATACCTTTCCCTTTAGACACTAGTATAGTTAGAAACAAACGAGCTGAGTGAGTCACTCTCCCCCTCCTCTATCTAATCCTAAGTAGCACCCAAGCGTTATTCCTGCTTCCGTTATCCTAAGAGAGTATAAAATGAAATAACAAAACCCTAAGAGATCTCCATGCCCTAGGCAGCAGAGCACTGGCACCAAAGAAGATTCAGTGGGAGGCACCTAAAGCCAGAGGTGTCTGGCCTTTAAATTCTAAAAGCCTGAGTTATCAGCCTCCCCTTTTCCCTTTTTTCTGTTGCTGCTGCTACCTCTCCTGTGATCTTCAATAAACATATCTACTTACCACTTACCATTGGGCATACACTTCACAATTCTTTCCTAATTGTACACAAGAATCTGGACTATTATTGGCCCATTCAACTGTAAAAACACTATATTTCAAGTTGACCGGGATTTTAACTAACACAATGCTTACTAAAATGTTCCTTAGCCAACATTAAATTTTAAGACTCCTTTACCATTGTTTTCAAAATAAGGCAGGACTATCATTGTGGAAGAACATATATTACCACACTATGGTATTATATGGTTCATTATCAAAATATTTCCCCCACACAGTGAGCTTCTATGCATTACCCACATTAAATGGCTAACATCTATGGGGTATGTCATATTTGTTAGATTCTGGACCAAGTACATGCATTATTTCATTTTATTCTCATCAAAGCTCTATGAAAGTTAGTACTCACAATAATCTAATTTTATAAATAAGAAAACAAGTCCTAGGACATTAGGGATTAAGAAGCAGGAAGGTAGCTGAGTCTGGATTTGAAATTAGGCTATTAGAAATTCTCTGTTCTTACCTATTGCACAGCACTGCTGACTACAAAGAAAGCTTTTATTCCACAAAAATTCTTTATAGTCAATGGTCATTTCTACATGTTTTTAAAGGGCACCATGCTCCTCACCAAAAATGGACTCCTTTAGTTCGTTCAAACACTGTTTATATCACTGCTTCTTTTCTTTCACTTTGGGCGTTTCCACACCCTGGGTCTGCTTGGTTGTATTAGTCTCGACTGTTCTGAGAAATCCCTGACTGGATCACTCATATTCCCATCTATACCACTGTCCACAAAGGTGACAACCTTTTCTTTTTGAAGCAGTATTCACAAAAATTTATTCTGGACTTCTTTGTTTCCTCTTTAGTCTTCATATTTTCTGCCTATACCTATGACTTCTACCTACTAGATAAGACTGACCAAAGCCACTTTCATTCAGGCCCAATGTCAACATCCCAGACTTCCAGGGAAATCACACATCATGGATCTCGTAGATAACTTGACATTCAAACAAATTTGAGGATTTAAAAATTATTTATGGTCTGCAAGTGTTCCTAAGTCACACAACAACAGAGCATTTCTCACCCACATGTTAGATCTGTAGATGTCCGCTTTTTCCTGGTCAGAACTTGGTCGTCACCACTCAAGCACAGAATTATGACGTCAGATGGACACAAGACAACTGCAAATTTTTCTGCAAAATGCCAGATAGTATTTTTGGTTTTGTAGGCTATTCGTTCTCTCTTGGAACTACTTGACTTTGCCACTGTAGTCTTAATGTAGCCATGGGCAATATGTAAATGAGTTCTGATAAAACTTCTTTATAAAAACAAGCAGTAATCTGAGTCTGTCTGCAGCCTGCTAAAGCTGGAGGAACTTCTACAAATTGGTGATTATGATTACTCCTATTAGACAGCAAGCAGTTGAGCCATAGGAAAGCCAAGGAGCTATCCATAGAAGACACACAATGAGCACATGAGCCAGGATGCTGATACCAAACTCTGCATTTTTAAACATTATGCTACACTTTATCTGCAGTATGTAAATATTATATTTGTGTTATTGATTAAAAGTGCATTTTATAATTTCATCTATGGTTCTCATGAGGAAGTGGGACCATGGGTTTTTTTTGTTTGTTTTGTTTTACTTTTCTTTGTGGCTGTGAATTGTGTCTTAAAATTAAAAATAAAATCTATATTATATTTGTAACATGAAAAAAGCTCACTTTTAAATTAGATACAAGTGTACTTAATTATTGAGACAGTATTATTTCCCTTTCTTTTTTCTAATATTACCTCTAGCATATTCACCACAAGTGAGCTAGCATTTGCACACATTTGCACACACACACACATACACACACGATCAATTCATGTTCACGGGCGAGCTGACTCTGCTTCTGCTTGTGGGAGTGAAGTCTGATTATCTAAGGGTAGTTTATCCTCTGACTGGGCATGTGGCCAATTTAAACCAACAAATAACAGCCATGTGACTCAATTTGGGCCAGTGAAAACAAGGTGTGTGACCCCATTTGGGCCAATGAGAAAAGAATTTGTGAAAGTCCTGCATTGCTGTTAAGTCAGAGGTTCCTGCAGGAATCTTTTCTCCCTTTTTTTCAGGGAATGAATATAGAAATGAGCCCAAGCAGATCTTAACAGCCACCCTACACCCATGAAGAAACCATTCTTAGAATGAAGTTGTCCTCTCAGCGGAGTGGAGGGGTAAAAGACTAGATGAGATTGCTGATGCCCTGATCTGGCCAACCCAGAATCCTGCTGTGACTAGAATTCCAGTCACAGTAGCCAGTGAATACTCTAATTGTGTAAGCTCATTTAAGTTGGTTTTCTGTTACTTCTTGCCAAAAGTAGAATTATCTGAAGAATCTACTCCAGAACAATGCTTTTGCTTTAATAACTATTTTAGAAAATAATGTTACTGTTATCATAATTATCATAATCATTTCAATATTCCAATTTACTCTGTAAAAATACTTGGGATTAGTTTTAATTTCTAACTTTTAAGATTTGGAACCAAGCAATCACACAGTCGTCTCTGCTTTTCCAAAGCACAAGTTTAGTGCTTAATATATTATCCTCTACCAAGAGAATCTGAAGTGCTGATAACAAGTGAAAGTAATCAAGACCGTAAAACCAACCTTCCCTGTCCAGTGAATGGAAGGATTAATAGTACTTCCAAGT